CTCGATTTTTTGTGGAATTTTCTCTAATTTTAGTTGATATTCTATTTGATATTATCTTTATTATTATTATTATTATCATTAAGCATCTTGAATGAACTGTAATTTCATCGTGATCTTAATTAACAAATCGATATTATTTAGAAAGCACACTACTAATCTACAATATTCTATATATAAACATATACGTATATAGTTGTAGAGGCCGAAGAGTAGGAAATTATCGAAAGGGGGATATTCTTTGCTCAATTATTTTCGTGTTTGATAAAAATATTAATAGACAGCTGTATATCCTTGACACACTGTGTCTGAGCTGAAGCACAAACCATTCCATTATGATATATCTGCGTTTTCTCTCTCTCTCTCTCAAGGATCCATCCACGATATCTGATTGAAGGCTATTGTAAAATGTTCACAAGTACATTTTGTCACCCGAAGACATAAGTGAAGAAAAGTTACCTCATGTATTGGGATACGTTGCCACCCACAATCAGTAGGAACTTGCCAATCTGGAGCTTGTAACCACTTTAAATACACACAAGAGTGGATAATTCCAACTAGAGGTCCTATGTCAGTCAATTAAAACAAACCAAACGAGAGAAAATATATGCAGTAGAGCGATGGAAGCTTTTGACAGTCCAAGTTTTAAGCAGACCGCCACAACTAATAAATGAGGGACTACTTTCTTAATAGCGCCAATTTATTATGTACTACGCTACATTTTAAACAACTACGAACTATACAGAATGCATTAATGATATGCAAATTACAACCTGCTTATTTAAACACCAACCACACATTTTTGGTAATTCGTTCAGTAAGACGACGTAAACAACATGAATACATAAAATTCAGCAACGTGCTATTTTTTTTTAAAAGTTAATGAATGTTTTATCAAACAGTAACCAAACTTAAACAAAAATCGATGACTGCAACAATGAGCGCTTACTCTGAATGATAACTTCTGTTATTTTGCTGAATAGCATGAAGTGCTTCCATTTGTAAATCAATATTCACTAGTGTCATAATTTGATAAAATAACTCGAAATTCCAACAGGCTATTATATAAGATATCGAATTCAAAGATTTCGCTTCACTTGTCAGTAGTATGTTAAGCGATTCTTTTACCTGTTGATAATTGATTTTTGAATCGCTTAATAAATGTTTCATCTAATATGGAAGAAATAAGAGAATTTAAAAAATCAGAAGGTGACTGCATGAGTAGGAGTTCAAATAACACACAAGATGAGAAAATATATTTGAGAAAATAAAAATTAGATTTATATATGTGTAAAACATGGGCACTGTGGTGGTAAGTAATTCCATATTAGTTAGTTTATTAGATGTATCAAAGAGTGAAGAAACAGTAGCATTTACTGGATGACACAGTTTCGAGCACAGGATATAAATAGATTTTCTGAACACATTAACTCAGAAATGTATGTAGAACCATTGGAAAAATAAGATTAATTAATGAAAATGGTAAAAAAAAAATAACAAGTAACATCGATTTCAAAGCCTCTGTAATAAACTACCGTAAAAAAAAGGGACGTCAAAGACTTTACGTAGAATTCTCAATGAGGCTGCAATTAGTCAAGGCGGCATTTCAACCAATTCACTCAGTCAAAGATAAACTTTGTCAGCTTAAGGACTCAACTGATCCAGTTGGGGAAAAATAATATAATTTACCAAATACCATTTAATGACTGTAAGTGAGGTCAATTACGTAGGAGATCACACTAGTAGGTCAGGGTCAGATAGACTATTGATATATATAAAAATCTAGCTAGAGATATAATGATTCTATGGAGGATTCAATCATGAGCTGACATCAGTTAGAGAACCACTGGAAAACCTGGGAGTACTGGACAGCTATTTCGTCCTATTTTGGGACTCCTCAGCAGTGCGCACCCACCGGGATTTCATTCCAGGACCTTCTGGTTACAAGGCGAGCTCGTAGACCATTGAGCCACTGGGACCCGATCCAATGGTCCTTGAATTCTAACTTCTGCCAATGATTCTCCCTGCTAAATTAAATAACCTAGAAAATCTCTGGGCTATCACAACGCATTCACTTGCATGTAATCCCATATGAGATTGCGATAGGGTCAAAGTATTGAAAAGTAATATTTTGTTATTTTTATTTTTTTTTTTGATTACAGCTTGAGTCCACACCGTATTTTTGGTACAAGCATGGAATTTTCAGCGTGGATATCGGTAGCCCAAAGTTCGCAGGCCGACCATTGATATCAGGTGTGCATCGGTGAGGGCTCGAACCCCGGACCATGTGCATGGTCGGCGAGAATCCTAACCACTGTGCCACCGACGCACAGGTGGCACAGACAGGTGAAGAGACAGATAGAGAGCAATTACTGAATCTCCGTTTATCGAATAAACACCAAAAACTTGCAGTTGTGGTGACGCAACAATTATGATACTAGATATATATAGAGAGAGAATTGCAGCAAACAACAAGGGGGAAAGGGAGAAAAAGATTTATAAAGCTAAGCATGAAGCCGTGTGAGTACGTATTAAAATAATTTTGATGTGGTTGTGTTCTCTGAGCAGCTGGATAGTTAACTACAGAAGCTTTCACCGCCCTACTAGGCGACATCTTCAGCGCATAATTCAGTTTGAAGTGAGATTTTAGATTCATCCACGAGTTTATTAATCATTCCTCTTGGTGACCTTGGACGTGATTGGTTGTTTTTGTGTCTTTTCACACCTTCTAGGTAACTTGTATTGGAACTGATTGCTTCTTTGACTTGAACTTTGACCCTTTGTGTGTGTGTGAGGTTTCTTTCTTACTGGTTGGTAAATTTTGTCTATCTCGATGTGTCTAGTAACTGATGATTCACTGGAATGCCAAGCTTTTAAGAATTCTCCAGCATTCTTGTTGTTTCTTCTGTCTAATATTTGAACGTTATCCCAGTCGAATTGATGTCCGTGGTTTTCTGTGTACAGTGATATGAGGGAGTGGATATCATGTCTTTTGACGGCTAGCTTGTGTTCGTGGATACGAAGACGAAGGGGACTTCGTCCACTTTAGCCGATGTAGTGTTTTTCACAGTTGTTACAATTTATTTTATAGATGATGTTGGCTTTATCTTCTTTCGCCGTTGAGTCTTTTGGTTGACATAGAATTGATTGAAGCGACTTTGTTGGTTTGTGTACGACGTCAATTCCTAAAGGTATGAAGAGTCTCGTAGTGATTTCTGAGATGTCCTATATACGATAAGGCGATTTTCTTTGTGCTTTCCTTAGTGGCTTTTGTTTTGGTAGGTTGGCTTGGGAGTATATGTTTCTTGATGAAATTACGTGGATATCGATCCATTCTTTTGGAAGACGTCCATGAGATATTTTTCTTCAAGTTTCTTTAAGCTGGGAGTGCTGCAATGAGTCCTGACTGGCCCTCTTGAATAGTGTTTGTATGCAATCCCTTTTGTGTGTTATTGGGTTGTTTGCTGTTGTAATTCAGGATTTGTTCTGGGTGGGTTGATTTCCTGTAAACTTGAGTTTCTAATTCCCCTGTGGTTGTTCGCTTGACTAAGATGTCCAAAAATGATATTTTGTTCTCGGATTCCTCTTCTCTTGTGAATTTGATGTCGTTGAAGACGTTGTTTATTAAGTTGTGAGTTTTATCTAATTCGTTTCTTTTGATTATTACAACTGTGTCGTCTACGTGCGTATTGAAATGATTATGAGTAGCAATTAATTGTTCTCGAAATGTCATCCACTGTCTTTTATATCAAATAAACTAATCTAATATGGAATTATGCATTTTTAACTGGTCATATGAAGTTAGTCTTAAAGTTTCGACAATAGTAGCCTCCACATTATGCTTAGAAGTTAACGATCTACGAATTCGATGCATCACCTGGTCAAACAACAAAGCCAAGAGATGTTAATGTTTGACTGATCGTCAGCGGTTGGTGTTGAGTTATCACATCACTTAAAAACACAACACTTCGACAAAATTCCCTATGGTATAGATAAAACCTCAACTGGATCTCATTACTTCTCTTCAGTAAAGAACAACCATCTTTTAATGATTATTGTTAAACTAATGAAATGTGACTGAAGACAAGTCGCCAGTCGAATTGGCAAATGGCAATTTTATTGCGCACTCTGACACAAGTCAAAGAGGTGATTATTTCACCACAGTTTCCTGTAGAAATCGAGATAAATCTGATCAAATTGCATGTGAGCTGCCTGAAACCATAAAGCGTGAATGAGAAGTCGCGAATTGCGAATATGACTTACGGAATTGCTAGTTCTTCCAGGCAGACATCTAGCCGGAAATCAAGTGATTTGGTGAATTGATTTATCTGTCTGCACTGAATCAAACCCGGTTCACCACTTTGATAAGCGAAACAGTCACCTTGAGGTGTTCGGAGCACCTCAGCCTGGTTGGCTAGTTGGCAAGCAGTACTGTTTAATATAAGCGATATACTAGGATTGTGGTGAGAGCTGTCTGCTATCCAAAATTCGTAGACAGCAAATCACGTCAATGCTTACGTCCTAAATCTTGGTAAAGAACAAAGACTAACTCAACAACCAATCACAGCAGACTTAGCGTGGGTAGACACGATTAGCAGATATATATATATATATATATATATATATATATATATATATCAACGGTCTGTCTAAGAAACGGCAACAAAGAGATGACAGAATAACCTTCAGCAGGAAAAAAACCAATCAGAATGATTTACCTGTCTGCTAACAATAACGCTAATAATAATCTACATAAAAATCTTTAAATATATATTGATTTTCTTAATAAAAGATCTGTTGCCTGGCCCTTGTCTTCTGTCTTTACACAACTACTACTCGTCTCAATCAATCTCAGTAGTTTTTAGTTCCACACAAGTCACTAGCGTCTTAATTTATAAGTAAAAACACAGTTTTTTTGTCCAGTGAAGAAATTTCTTTTCAACGACTTCCTTTTCAAGCTGTACAGTCGTATTTATATTACAGAAAAAGGTTATTAAGTGGCACTAAATAATTAATTACTCAGTCAATATACATATATATGTAAGTGATAAGAATAACGATAATTAAAATGTTACAAGGCGTAGAGTTGAAGTGGATAAATTACAGAATTATTAAAGATTGTTCTATAACAAAAATGTCAAGTGTTGTCTAAAAATTTTGAAAATTAGAAGTACGATTACGATAAGAATGAAGATGTGAAGTGAAGTGGAAAGAATTCAAGTGATAAAATAAAATAAAAACTAGAAAGAGCATTATTATGACCAAGGTAAAGAAAGGGGTTTTACAAAACGCTTTTGAACACATAATTTAGGTTTCTGTTCATGTATAGCTAAAGCTTCGGCTAGCTATGCATAAGTGAAGAAAACGTAAACTTTTGGATCGATTCGATTTTGCCATGTATATAACTTTGAAAGATGAATCATGTGGGGCTAAATGACCAGACTCTAACAGGTGATCACAAATAAACGACTTCGCAGTTCTACGTTCGCCTTTCATTAACCATACCGGATAGTGTTTAGCTACACGTTTTCGAAGATTACGCTTACAACGTCCAATATAATCAGCTCCACAAGAGCAGGTAAAAGAGTAAATGCACATAGATGTGGACAAAAGCGGTAATCTATCCTTGACGCATTATCTGATCATATTTCGGCTGGTAAAAACTAGTTGCAGGTCAGCTGCAGGAAAAGTGCGTTTAACACATTTAGATAAACGAATTTTAATCAATTCTAAAATGGTGTCACCTTTGAATGCAAGACTCATAAACAACCTTTTCTTTGATACTGTGACTTGTCTCGGGGCGGATTCTTTCTTGATGTTACGTTCAGTGAACCTTGTGGGATAACCATTGTTAAGGAGGTTTGATCGAAGGTTATCTAGTTCCCTATCGATTGTCTCTGCAGAGCAGATTTTACGAATCCTGGAGCATAAGGAATGAATAAGATTTCTTTTTCTCCCTAAAGGTACCCAACTGTCGAAGTTAGTGTACTGCCCAGTGAATGTTGGCTTTCGGTAAATCGACCTTAACAGCGTTCCATTCTCTCTTCTATCTAGCTTATCTTAATTTATAACCCAGTTCAAGCTCTTTCTCGTGATTAAATAACTGAGAAAATCAGGAAATCTGTAGACAGATTAAATTCTACATTAATAAGACTTACATCGGTAGAGTTTATTTTATCTTGTACACCGTTGGGTTGGTCGAATTCATTTTTAATTGTCTTTTTCATATTCTAACAAAAATGAAAAGATAAGAATGTTTGTGGAAGCTACCTTTATTACTCCATCTTTTTGGTTAGATTTCTCTGCCAACATTATATTAATTTCGTTTTCATTGATCTCTGTTGTATGATCCATTGAACAATTGAATAATCTAAATAATGATCAACCAATATATGCAGATTTAAACAAAAAAATTCAGCGAATTTCAAAAATTATTTCAATCGTGTAATTATAATCTATACGATAGAACTTTCGATTTTGTTTGTTTACATTTAGAACAACACATTCTAGGGAAGAATACTTAGTACATAGACTAGCTACCTCTTCTTGTATTTACCCATTCAACTGTGACTGTGGAGCAAGTTATCATTGGCGGTTGCTATATGAACTTGATTTTTCATGCTCGCTCTGGAACACCAACGAATATAACTCCACGGAGCTACTTTGGGGTCTGCAAATCGATAAAAATACTTTATTTCATCGGCATTTTTTGGTATGGCCCTTTTGCCTGTACATATAAATTCCCTAACCCCCTTGTCATTACAATTGCATTAGCTAACCTTTTGTCCCAAACTAGGACGAAACAGCTGTCCGGTACTCCCGGGTTTTCCAATGGTTCTCTAACCAATGTCAGCTCATGATGAAATCTTGTGACTAGTCAATCAAATCCCTACAAACCAACACTTGAAAACCTTTTGTTTTCTTATTTAAACGAAGAATTAACTTACACCCTGACACACATACAACGCACAAAAATTTCAACCCCATATAACCAATTTTTTCTACCCCTATTTTTGACATGATCATTTATCCATCTGAAATTCATAATCAATATGAATGGAATTTAACCGGTGGATGGTTGATGACGAGTCCCAAATAGGACGAAATGCGCCTTATCCTGAATTCCACTGCCGTTAGTCACCAACCACTAGTAAAATTCTAACTACATGTCCAGACATCGTCGTCGAAGCATCTGCACAAGAAGCCGACAGACATGTCAACCTGAGACCGAGCATTTCGGTCCAATCAATCGATGCGAAAATCTAAAATTCAATTAAGTATTTTTTTTTGATAGCGTTATTAGAAGACGGAGACTATCTGAAAAATGTGATGTATTAGCGCTATACATTTCGAACAATCTGATCACACATTTACTTGTCAAGTCAATATATATATAGAAAGGTTAAATTAAACAAAGTGAGAGAAAACGGAATTAAGAATAATTAACACAAACGTTTGGTAATCCAATCAAATAAGGATTACCAAGGTAGGTTAAGAGTAATGACAAACTGTTTTTGAATACACAAGGGGGGCTTAAGTCTATGAATAGCTATAGCCTCAGCGTATTTCAGTAAACGCCCTTGACCGTTTTTATAGATGACCTTAAAGGCTGAGTTAACATCAATCTTATGGTTCATCTCGATTAGATGTTTAGCTATAGACGAGTTTGGTAGTCTGCCACCTGCATCTATTAGCTTGTCACAATTCATCTGTTTTCCTAACCATTTTGGTATATGCTCTCCCACCCTCACGTGCAAAGCGCGATTACTCCTCCCTATGTATGTATGTCCACACACACGAAAGTTGGTAAATTGTATGGGATGTGACGTAATCACTTGTGCACTTGTGAGGTTTGCAGTGGAGCATATTTTTAGCTTTTTCGACAATTACAAGCTGGGCTGTATAGTAGGTTCTACGGGTGATCGAATTTAACCTTTGTCTCAAAATCCTACTATTTATTTCCCCGTTATATGGTAATTTGATGAAAACATTTCTCTTTAAGGGCCGTATGGTTTGTAGGTTTAGAGACTAATTGACTTCTACACCTGTTTAAAAATTTTAAAGGATATCCGTTTTCAACAAGAGTATCCATCAATATTTCGTTTTCTTTGTCTGTAATATCAGCCGTATAAATACGTTGAATCCTTTTAAATAGGCATTTTACCAAGCGTCTCTTATACTGTAATGGACAGAAACTGTGAAAATTAAGGTACTGCCCTGTCCAAGTGGGCTTTCTGTAGATAGACCGTCTTATTCAACCATCCATCATCTCTTCGACTCAGAAGTATGTCTAAAAATGCAAGCTGGTTACGACTTCTTTCCTCGCATGTAAGACTAATATGATTCTCTACAGGGTTAAGTCTGTCTAGTAGACGACTCGCATCTTCATGATCGTCGCATATCAAAATGATATCATCTACATATCTCCTATAGAAGGGTAATTTAGAAATTAAATCAAAGGACAAGTTCTCGACATAAGACATGTAAACGTCCGCTAATGAACTCATCATAGCAACTCCATCCACTTGTCGAAAATGTTCACCTACAAATGTGAAATAGACATTGTCAGTACATAATAGCGCCCTTGACCATTTTTATAAATGACCTAAACAGAATGAGTTAACATCAGTCTTATGGTTCATCTCGACTGGGTGTTTAGCTATAGACAAAGCTGGTAGTCTGACACCTGCATCTATTGGCTTGTCACAATTCATCTGTTTTTCTAACCATTTTGGTATATGCTCTCCCATCCTCATATGCAAAGCACGATTACTCCTCCCTATGTATGAGTGTCCCCACACATATACACGAAAATTGGTAAATAGTATGGGATGTGACATAATCACTTGTACACCTCAAAAGTGCACTTTTGATGTTAACTCAGCCTTTTTAGGTCATTTATAAAAATGGTCAAGGGCGCTTATTGAAATACGCTGCAACGCTGCGTGTGATACATTTAATAAACAAACTAATATGGAATTACTTACTACCACAGTGTCCAAGTTTTACACATATAGAAAAATAAAAATAATTGTGAAACTATTAATAATAACATAAATAAGAGAGAATATAAGTCATCTACATTTATACCATATAAAGAGAGGACATCTGGAACCCTACGTAGAATTATAAATAAAGCAGGAATTAGGGTGGCATTTAAACCTACAAAGTCACTCAAGGACAAGCTGTGTAGTTTAAAGGACCCAGTTGACGCAGTTAGACAAAATAATATAATTTACAAAATACCCTGCAATGACTGTGAGTGAGGTCAACTACATAGGTCAAACTAGTAGGTCAGGGGTAGTCAGATTGTCAGAACATAAGAATTCAGCTAAGGTAAGAATGGCTTACCCCGAAAAATAACCAATTTAGTAAAAAAAGCTCAGCAATTGCACTTCACGCATTAACACACAAGCGCACAATAGGAAGGGAGAGGGTTAAAATTCTACAAAGTAACCTAGAAGACCTGGATTTCGCGGATGATTTATGTTTGATGTCACACGCAATCGAAGACTTACAAGCGAAAACCGACAAACTGGTCGAAGAAGCAGCCGGCGAAGACTGGACTCCAGGTAAACATAGACAAGACGGAGGTTATGAAAATAACCAACCAACAACAGCAACAACATCCAACGTCAATCACCACCAACGAAAGGGATTTGAGAGAGGTTACTTCATTCACTTATCCAGGGAGCATTGTCTCAACTACAGGAGGAGCGTACGAGGATGTCAAATCGAGAATCGGGAAGGCGAGAAACACATTCATCAGCCTGAAATCAATCTGGAAATCTTCGTCACTCAGCATCACCAACAAAATTCGGATTTTCAATACAAACGTAAAGTCAGTTCCTCTATACGGATCAGAAACTTGGCAGGTGCATCACAAAGAATATTTCCAAAAGGCTGCAGAAATTTACTAACAACTGTCTTCGCTCTATACTGAAGATCAGATGGCCGGAAAGAATCACCAACAAGGAATTATGGGAACAAACAAAGCAAGAACCAATCGCCCAACAAATATGCAGGAGAAAGTGGAGATGGATCGGACACTCGCTGAGGAGACCGCTGGGTGACATCGCGCGCCAAGCCCTCGAGTGGAACCCGAAAGGGAAGCGGCGTGTGGGACGTCCAAGGGTGACATGGAGGAGGTCGTGTGAAGAGGAGTTGAAAGAATATGGATTAACATGGATGCAGGCGAAAAGTATAGCAGAAGACAGAAGAAAATGGAGACGTGCAGTTGAAGCCCTATGTTCCACTAGGAACCCAAGGGAGCAATAATAATAAATAATAATAATAATCTAGATAGGTGGAGAGAGAGGTTGATTACTGAATCCTTGTTCATCGAGTCTACACCCAACACATGCAATAGGAATGATTCATCACTCATACCGTAAATATGGAAAATACTACTGCCAATTAAATCAAGTGAAAAATAATGGAACTATATAAATGAATTTAGGAAGTCGTGTGAGTACCTTGATATGACTATGAGTGGCAATAATTTGTGCTGGTAACGTGGTCATCAGTAAACAACGTTACTGTATAACAACACTGTGAGACTTTATCAAAACAAAAATTTACCCATAATGGAATTATACTCTACCACAGTGCACAAGTTTTATTCTTATATCATTCTTATATCTTTCTTTTTTCACTCTGTTTAATTTAACTTTTTCGTATATATATATATATATATATATATATTATATATATATATATATATATATATATATATATATATATATATATATTGAATTGACAAGTAAATGTGTGAGTGATCAGATTGTTTGAAATGTGTATAGCGCAAATACATCACATCACACATTGCTTTTCAGATAATCTCCGTCTTCTAATAATGCTATTACAATTTTTGCATATTACCACTTACACACACACATCTATTTAGGACTATAATCTATTAACTATGGAATTGCAGATAACTTTAGGAATTCTGATCTAAATGATTCCATGTTACTCTTTTTTAAAAACACCACTAATGTTGTTAATAATAATCATTCTGTCATTAGTATGCATGGATGTATAGCTGTAGAACCTGCTAATGAAGAAGAGCACGTTATCCAAAAGAATATTCTTTGTTCAGGAATTAATATTTTGAAATTTCGAATGGGTATCTTTGAAAAATATATTGTTTTCAAAATCAGATCTTTACAGGTTTACCTCTAATATACATAACTTTACAAATAAATACCATTAAATATAAACCAGTTATGGTAATCTATCGGTAGAATGATAAAACTGTGCATACAAATTGTGCAGTTCGTCGTAATACTAATACAACAATAATGAACAAAATATTTAGAGCGAACAATTGTGGTTTCAATAAATGCGTCTTCTTCAGGCTCTACAATTATATATCCATTAATTTAAGCATACAATAGCCAGACAGACAGCCAGTAAAGGCAAATTAGAATCATATCAGAAGAAGATGTTTTGTGAAACAAGTATAAGTGAGATGCGATGAAACAATAGTCATATAGTTCTTTTTCAATATGCGTCGTTGGTTAAATAAAGGACAAACAAAATCTATTCGCAGCGCTATTCTATCTCATATATTCGACTTAGAATGCAAGATTAATGTTAACCATGCTATCAGGGTCATTTACCGCATACCAACACTTCCTGACTTCGTCTTAAAAGTTCGTTTACTAGATACTCCAGCGGCTGTTGGGGTCCACATTAAGGAGCTTAATAAACGTGTTCAAAAGAAGTCGGTCGGTTCGGACATTATCATTACCTTGGCCATCTAGATTTGAATGATCCTCGATTTTTTGTGGAATTTTCCCTAATTTTAGTTGATATTCTATTTGCTATTATATCTTTATTATTATTATCATTATTATCATTTAAGCATCTTGAATGAACTGTAATTCCATCGTGATCTTACTTAACAAATCGATATTATTTAGAAAGCACACTACTAATCTAGAATATTCTATCTATATAAACATATACGTATATAGTTGTAGAGCCCAAAGAGTAGGAAATTATCGAAAGGGGGATATTCTTTGCTCAATTATTTTCGTGTTTTATAAAAATATTAATAGACAGCTGTATATCCTTGACACACAGTGGTCTCTGAGCTGAAGCACAAACCATTCCATTATGATATATCTGCGTTTTTCTCTCTCTCTCTCTCTCTCAAGGAATCCACCCACGATATCTGATTGAAGGCTAATTGTAAAATGTTCACAAGTACATTTTGTCACCCGAAGACATAAGTGAAGAAAAGTTACCTCATGTATTGGGATACGTTGCCACACACAATCAGTAGGAACTTGCCAATCTGGAGCTTGTAACCACTTTAAATACACACAAGAGTAGATAATCCCAACTAGAGGTCCTATCTCAGTCAATTAAAACAAGCCAAACGAGAGAAAATATATGCAGTAGAGCGATGGAAGCTTTTGATAGCCCAAGTTTTAAGCAGACCGCCACAACTAATAAATGAGGGACTACTTTCTTAATAGCGCCAATTTCCTATGTACTACGCTACATTTTAGACAACTACGAACTATACAGAATGCATTAACGGTATGCAAATTACAACCTGCTTATTTAAACACCAACCACACATTTTGGTAATTCGTTCAGTAAGACGACGTAAACAACATGAATACATAAAATTCAGCAACGTGCTATTTTTTTTAAAAAAGTTAATGAATTTTTTATCAAACAGTAACCAAACTTAAACAAAAATCGATGGCTACAACAATAAGCGCTTACTCTGAATGATAACTTTTGTTTTTTTGCTGAATAGCATAAAGTGCTTCCATTTGTAGATCAATATTCACTAGTGTCATAATTTGATAAAATAACTCGAAATTCCAACAGGCTATTATATAAGATATCGAATTCAAAGATTTCGCTTCACTTGTCAGTAGTATGTTAAGCGATTCTTTTACCTGTTGATAATTGATTTTTGAATCGCTTAATAAATGTTTCATCTAATATGGAAGAAATAAGAGAGTTTAAAAAGTCAGAAGGTGATTGCATGAGTAGGAGTTCAAATAACACACAAGATGAGAAAATATATTTGAGAAGATAAAAATTAGATTTATATATGTGTAAAACATGGGCACTGTGGTGGTAAGTAATTCCATATTAGTTAGTTTATTAGATGTATCAAAGAGTGAAGAAACAGTATTATTTACTGGATGACACAGTTTCGAACACAGGATATAAATAGATTTTCTGAACACATTAACTCAAAGGTGGAGGCAATTCAATTCACTTATGAATTGAAAAGTCAGGCAGGAGGGGCAGCTTCCAATGTTAGATTGCAACGTAAAAAGGAAAGACAATGGGAAGTTAAACACACTAGTGTGTTTACAAGATACCCACACATTCAAACAGATATTTGAACTTCCGATCATCCCATCCTGTGTCAGTGAAAATAGGATTGGCGAAATGTTTAAGTAACAGAGCACAAAAACTAAGTAGTACCAAAGAAACTCTAAGACAGGAAGTGAGGCATATAAGGGAAGCTTTGAAAGTTAATAATTACCCTGATAAATTAGTCAGAAAGTATGTAGGGAAATGTAAAAATAGAATAAATAATGATAGTAGTAATAGTGATGATAATAATAATAATATTGGTGACGACATGCACGTCAAACACGCTCAAGACAACACCAGCAACAAGGAATCTAAATCATCATAGTAATTCTGTACAAGCAAGGAACCTTGGAAACCACCTTACGCAGAATTCTTAACAATGCAGGCAGGAATGTAAGTGGCTGTCATTCAAACCCCCCACAAACTCAATTAGAAACAAGCCTTGTTGGTTAAAGGACCCCGTTAATGGATCCAATAAAACAAAACAATTTAGTTTATCTAATACCTTACCTGCAATGATTGTCAGGTCAAATACATAGGTCAAACTAGTAGAACAGAGTCAGTCAGACTAGCCGAGCATAAAATCCCACCAGCAAAATCTAGATTGGTTGACCCAAATAAGATAAGAAATCCAGTGAATAGTTCGGGTATACCACTCACTTCATGCAGTTACACACGACCATACAATAAGGTAGGATGGGATAGGATGACAGTTTTAAAATCTAATGTCACAACATGGTGGAGGAAGAGATTGATAACAGAAGCTTTGTTTATCGAATCAACTGCAAACCAACACGTGTAATAGGAATGATTCAATACCTGTCCACGCGGACATCTTGAAAATTCTATTACTCCTACGAGGAATAGGAGAGAACAAAGCAAACTATAAAACTTAAGTTTCAAAGTCGTGTGATTATAATTGATGAAATGATTATGAACAATAATAGATTGTGTTCTAAACTTTGTCATCCAGCAAAATAATACTGTTTCACTCACTGTGTGATACATTTAATAAGCAAACTAATATGGAAAAATTAGGTTTGATTAGATGTTCAACTGATCGTTTCGCATTTCGAGTCCCACTCAAGCTAAGTCACCTCGCAACAGTCTCCTCGGTGTCCAGTCCCCCTCCATTTTCTCCAGAATATTTGTTGAGCAATAGGTTCTCAGTTGATTCGTTTCCAGAGTTTCTTGTTTCTAATTCCTTCTGACCAGCCGGTCATCTGATAGTCAGCGAAAGTGGCAGCTAGCTGTTGATAGACAAACGTCTCCAGAGGCCTGTTGGAGATGCTTTTCTTGATGCATAATGCCGATTGCTGAAAATTTCAATTTTGTTGTTTATCCAGAATGCAGAAGATTCCAAAACTAATTCCAGAGGGATGAAGCTTTGCTATATCTTTCAGATCCTGACTGGTATTTATATTGTCATTTGTGTCAACTGCGTGTAGTTGAAGCCAAGTTGCGTAGATAAGTGATGTGTAAGTGGCCTTGTTCTAGTTTCTCACGTTGATAGGGATTGATGCTAATTGTTGTTAGTTGGTTATTTTTTATCACTTCTGTCTTCACTGCCTGTCTCTCATGCCAACCTGTTGGTTATATTCCGTAAGTCTTCGAGTTTACATGACCTTGGACGTTAAATCATCCTGGAGTCTAGATATTACGAAGTCTTCTTTCTGGGACCATACATTTATGTCTCCTCACTCTCTATGGACTGTCTCACACGTGATCCAGTCTATCAAAACTAGGCATATCACCGGTGATAGTTAATTAACTGTCGTTTCTTACTCCTTTCTTGTCACTTCAAAAGCTTCTCTGAGTTTTCCGTTGTGGATTACTTGACATGCGGTCCTGTCATACAGCTATTGAATGAGATTGATGCAAATTTGGTACTTTCTAAATTACTTCGAGATGAATGCTCTCAAAGTTTTATTTATTTTATTTTTTATTTTTGATTTACAGCTTGATTCCACAATGTATTTTTGGTACAAGTATGGAATTTTCAGCATGGATATCGATAGCCCAAATTTTGCAGGCCGACCATAGATATCAGATGTGCGTCGGTGAGGGCTCGAACCCCGGACCATGTGCATGGTAGGCGAGAGTCCTAACCACTGTGCCACCGACGCACCGACGTAAAGAGACTTTTGACTTTTATTCCATACTCTGTTGCAATTTGCTCGCTCATGACAAGCTTTTCTTGAATTCAAATAGTTCAGGGCGGCGTTCCGCGTCCAGTGTATCTTTTCATCTCCGTACTGGGATTTCAACAAACAGCAAAAAGACATTTTCTTGTAGAACATTTCATCATCTTCTGTCGTTGGAAAACTCCTGGCCATTATTTTAAGAACATAAAAGACAAATTCAGGGAAGAAAATGCTTCTTTATCGACAAAACCATCTTCACAGGCTGGCTGTACAGTCGTATTTATACTTGCCAAAAATGTAAAGTAGTCTATTATTGAGTAATAGGGCGGGGGGTGACATAATTGATATAATTACTCAGAAGTGGCTTTAGAAATAGAATTGTGAAATTTGTAAATTACGTGGTACTCAACGGCACAAAAGAAGGAAAGGTTAGAAATATGGTAAGGTTAAAATCGCTAGTGAGTGAGAATAAAGGTAGTTGAGTGTCAATTTAAGAAATGTGAAGAGGGTGTGAAAATGTACAAAAGGAACATATGAGAGTGATAATAGTGAATTAATTATTAAAGTTAAAGCAAACGAAAACTAGAATTAAAAATTAAAAGTTAAAAATAAAATTCTTTACAAGGAACAACAAGTGAAGAGGTTAAGACCATGGTAAAATAATGGACTGGACAAACGTTCTCTGTAAACAAACTTTGGGGTTGTATTGAAGAATTGCCAGTGCCTCCGACATATACAAAAGTGGTAACCTGACATCCTTTGTACCATTTGTTCTCACCTTGTAGATGATCTTGAAAGACGATACCGGTGAAGCTACATGGCTTGAGTTCGCCGAGTGCTTGAGAATCGAGCTGGTAATTGTCTTGCATTGTCCTTTTGCTAACTGCCGAATAATGTCCAGAGAGTCGTCTTTCAAGATCATCTACTAGGTGAGGCCAAATGGTACAAAGGGAGTTAGGTTTCGGCTTTTGTGTATGGCAGAGGCGCTAGCAATTTGCCAATACAACCCTGAACTCTGTAAACAGAAAAAGTTTGTCCAGTCTCTTATTCTACCTTGTCTTTAACCTCTTCATTAATCGTTCTTTGCAAACAATTTTAAATTTTTTTTAATTTTTAGTTTTACTTTTACTCTGCTTTTACCTTAATAATTAATTCATTACTACCACTCGCATATGCTCCTTTTGTACAATTTCACACCCTCTTCATACTTGTTGAATGGACACTCAAATACCACATTTCTTCTCACTCACTCAATAGCAATTTTAACCTTATCAAATTTCCAACTTTGCGCCGTTGAGTACCACGTAATTTACAAATTTCACAATTTACTTCTAAAGCCACTTCTGAGTAATTATATCAATTACGTCATCCCCCACCCACCTATTACTCAATAATAGACTACTATACGTATTTCTGGTAAATATAAATACGACTGTACAGCCAGCCTCTGAAGAAGATTTCGTTGATAACGAAAATTTTCTTTACTGAATTTGTCTTTTATTTTCTTCATTACTCAATGGGTATTTTCGGTGATTTTAAGATCATTTAGACTATAAAAAGAACAGTGGGCAAGAAATATTCTCTTTGATAAGTCCCTCATCCAGCTACTTCAGTTGTGCTTATATACAAATATATATATATATATGTGGATTTTTAGAAATCTCATTAAGAAATCAAAATTAAACATGAAAATGCAATTAAAATGTTTGTGATTGTGATCATAGTTAAATGTCAAGTAGCGAAACAATCAATGTCATACATAGAATAGTTCATAGAATGTATAGATGCTTGAAGGAATTGTATTATTATATAGTTAGTAGGCGAAAAGTAAGAATAATAAAAACAGTCATAGGAATGATTGAAAGGTTCGTAGATTAAAACTGTATGAATACTTATCCCTCTGCGGCAAAGTAAAAGTACAGATTGCACATACTTCTTTTGTACACAAATGTCTGGCTTGAATTCATGAATGGCTAAAACCTCCACTGTCTTTAGAAGTCTCTAACGGAAAAAGCGTAGGAAGTTATCATGAATTCTATAGATGATCTTAAAATCATGGTCAGGGTTGGCAGAATTACAGAAGTCAATCAATTGTTCTCACACCCTTCTTTTCTACCTTGTAAAACCATGATGGAATAGATCCTCTTAACCATGTGGAAAGTATTCTGTGTTCAGGGTGAATACACCTTGCTTCGCAAGGGTAGACGAACTGATAGATGCACACACAGGCAGCCAAAAGAGACAGTTTATCCTTTACACAGACGGAAAAAATTACGGCTGAAGGTCATTCGTAATTTCGCAGCAGAGAATGTCTTTTGACCGATTTGGAGTGACGATATTTGAGCATACATGAAGCCTGATAATCTTTAGACTCCATATTTAGTTCCTTACGCTGGAATTCAAAGACCCTCGAATTATAATTTCGTCAGTTCATGGTATATATATATATATATATATTATTTACGTCAATGTCATGTCCCAAATCAGTCATGAGAAAAACAATGACAGGGCTTAACCATGAGGAACTTATCAACCAATCACAGAAGACTTAACGTGTACCAATACGATTCACAGATAAATGGCTTAACTTTCTGAGAAACGGTCACAGGCAATACAGAATTACCTTCAGCAAGAAAACGAACAATCAGAAGATGCTACTCCTTCTCTGACAATAATATACATAAAATCTATAAATATCTCTTGACTTTCTCAATAAACGATCGGTCGACTAGTCTTTGTCTTTCCTAATTACATATATATTATCTGCTCATCGATGTCATTCTTGTGAGCAGAGCTACATCATGCATCAATAGAAGCTAGAATTCACCCGTCATTGAGTTCCATTCCAAGTAGCTAAGCGGCCAACGAGATTAGTCTCGTATTCTGAAGAGAGGCGTCCGATCCCTGTAGGAGTCATTAGGGCACGCATTTGAAGAGTGCCGAAAAATAGGATGAAACAGCTGCCCAGTACCCCCTGGTTCCTGAATGATCTCTTCAACTGATGTTGGCTCTTAACGAAGTCTAACAACTGAAATTAACCAAACCCCCCCCCCCAAAAAAATCTTAGAACCCTATAAATCTGACTCGGATTGTAACAAAACCTGTAAAAAACAAAGTAGAAGAGTCACAATAAGATTACAATTCCCATTAGTATAAGATACACACAAATGACATTTATTCACTCACCATTTCCGAGTATTCTTTATGCCTAGCTAAATGATTTGGGTGGATTTCTTCATCACATGTAAATACTAAACAATAAACATGTACAAAATTTATATACAAGATAATATTTACTTGAACAGTGGGCCTCCATAAATGATTCAATATAAGCTGTAACCATTGGATCCATGAAAAAATCTTCAACTTCTTCATCATTCATTTTTTTCTAACTGCTCTTTCACAGTTCAGTTTACTGCTGAGAGTTGATGGATATCGAATTTACAGGGGTAAAAAAGAAGCTATACAAACAAAATTTAATTTACTATAGAATAAGAATAATAAACAATGAAGCATACTTGTTGGCATAGCTTAAACAGACATGTGCGCGTCAAAATTCAAACATGTACAACATAAATGTTTTAATTACCGAATTAAGTTAAAGTGCGGAATATTCAAAACAGTAAAGTAAAACGATTAATATGGCTTATAGTTTCTTTTATTTACAGCCTGGTGATAGTTTACGGAAAATACACATTTGCTTGTTTAAACTGTGTTCTAAAATTATCTTGATGGGAATTCTAACTCTGGCAACTTATTAAATTCCAACCCAAGTAGCTGAAGATGAGTCAACCGACTTGGCCTCATAAGCTGAAGATCCCAGGATTGATCCCTGAAGGGGTCATGTGTGGGAACTGACGAAAGTCCCGAACTAGGAAGAAACAACTTCCCAGTACTCCCTCCATTTTCAGTGACCTCTCCAACTCATATTTCTGATGACGAGAATCTATCAACTGGAATTTATCCAAATCTCATCACATAAATGGTTTTATTTTTCAAATGTTTGAAACAAATACATTAGAGTTTTCAGATAAATTTGGTTTTTAATCAGATTGCATAGATTTGATTGGTTTCAATTTTGCCCATGGATTGATAGCACTTAAAAACTATTGAGTACTTATCAGTAGTTTTGCCTAGTCTGGGACTCTTGAACAGTACGCTCCCAGGATCTTTAAGTTTTAAGGTGAGATTGTTAATCATTCAGCCACTGGGATTGGATCCATTGGCCAGCCCATGAATAACGACATCCATCAGTTTGTGATGCATACAGCACCACCGCCAGCCATAGCCATCGGCGTGTATTTTTCGGTAAGCCTGAGCCTGTGACCCCACACTGGTTGTGACTTCCTGTCGAACCACTAGGCAACTCCGCCTTGCAGTCTCTCTGTAGTGAGCATCTAATTACTTTTCAAAAATGATTTTGTAAGGACTTAGGCAGTTTCAAGTTCAGATAGTAAAATTAGTCCTTTTGTCATCAATTTTGTATTTTTTTACTATTCTGCCACTTATATTATGATTACTTAATGTTAAACTCTGTGCCAAGTCATTCAGTAATTGCTTCAACAGTATGCAGTACCCCAAATCTTTATGAAACTCATTCAGTAGCTATTCGACAATGCAAAATGTCAAGTGATTTACAACGGAGAACTCAGTAAAGCCTTTGAAGTGAAGACTGGAGTAAGATAAGACTTTTCAATATCACCGACAGTGCACGGGGAGGGAGAAGACAGGACTACATTGGACTGATAATGAGACTCTAGGAGATTTGAAATTCACGGACGAAGACTTACAGCATGCTGGCAGAAGAGACAGACAGTGAAGACCGAACTTCAATTGACCATAGAGAAGAGAGAAATGATGAAGATAACCGCTGACCAACCACAACAACTACAGCCATCAATCACTACCAACAGAATAAACTTGAACGAGGTCACTTCCTTCGCTTATCTAGGCAAAGTAGTTTCAACTGCAGGCAGTTGGAACGAATGAGGTTTCCAAAACCAGCCAGGTAGGAAAAGCAATACACAGTTTCACCACTCACAAGGTAGTCTGGAAGTATTCTATGTTTAACCAGCATAAACAACGAAATTCGGATTTCTAACACCACCTTTAAGTCAACCATTCCTTCTATATGGATCAGAAACTTCGTGCTTGCGTCACGAAAATCATTTCCAACATCTTACCTCAGACTTTTATCTACAGCTGCCTCCTCTAAATCCTTACTGAAGATCAGGTGGCAGGCCAGTTAGAAAGAATTAGCTACAAGAAACTCTAGAAACTAACCAATCAAAGACCTATTGCCCAACAAATGTTCCAAAGAAAATGAAGATGTATCGGACCACTGGGTGACATCGGCTGGCAGTCCATCGCTATAGTTTAAATTGAATGGAAAACGATGAGTTGGATGTCCTTTGAAGGTGATATGGAGGAGATCTTGTAAGGAGGAGATGTGACCTTATGAGTAAATGTGGAAATAGGTAGAGTGAGCTGGAAAGAAGAGAACAACGTGGAGATATGCTATTGAAACTCTACGTTCCACTCGGAACCCAAGGGAATAACAATAATAGTATTAATAATTTAAAGTTAAAAGCCTCATGAAATTCAATGTAGTCAGACAATTGAGGATGTAGTGAACAGATATTGAGCGAATTTTCAACTAGCCTACGTATCTTTCTATTAGGATTTACCTTCAATTCAATCTAACCTTTTAAACAGAATAAGTACTTAATGGACATCCTAATATTCCATTTGGAAGTCGTAATCTGGTGGACTCATATGAGTCAAAGAGAGCTATGGAACAGTTACTCCCTAAAAACAACCTAATGGTGAAGGGGAGATTGGAGGATAATGACTAATGAAAAGTAACAAAGTCAGCACGCATTAAAATCTTCTCAAATCAAGAGAAAAAATCAACAGTTCTGATCATAGTTTTCTCTTGAAATCGCAAATAAGCACTGGCGAATTTTCCACGAATTATAAAAAACAATCTTTTGATTTCTTCATTCTGTCGGTCACTTCCTATGATTTATTATAGTCTGAGGGGAGCAAGTCCATGATTTCTAAATATATCCTTTAATAAATAGTTGCCATTTCGGAATCAAATGTGATAAAAAAGAGGGAAGGATTCTCTAATTCACATATTTAACTTATTTTTCGGCGAATAATGAACAAGAAGATGCTAAATCTGTATAACTTATCTAAGCTGACAGATCTTCAGCAGGTACTCTGTCATTATTCACCACTACCTGTTAAAGTGGATGACTTTGTCTTATATCACTATTGAGTCTAACTAAATATATCACGCATGAAATGACCAAAGACTTAAGTTCGTCTTTCATCTAATCACACCAAGATTTCGCGGTGTCGAATACTGACCACTTCAGGCAAACTGCGTTGAAAACAGGTTAGAATGGTAGAAAGTCTCGTTAAACTTCAAGTTCAATCATTTAACACCACGTGTATTCAGATTTTAAACAACTATTCTTTAAGATATAACAGTAAAGTCATCCACTTGTATACTACATAACCTCATGCCTTGTCTCTTACTAAACAGTAAAATGTGGTCACAGAATATTAGGACAGTGTGTAATTTTAAGATGTTTATTTTCTTAAGGCCATTTTATGGCTCACAGGCTAAAGCTAAATGGTAACCTGAGGATTAACTGTAAGAAGATTTGACGTATATCTATTGAACTAAATCAGCAGTAGTGGCCTGTATAAAAACATTCGGCAGCAAAACTAGCAGATAATGTCCGCTTATCGTAGAATCGCATCGTAACATCCAGTATCACGCATATAGTACCATTTTGAATAAATTTTAGTGTGGATTTTAGAAGGCTCTTGAGTCTCTTTTCCGTAAAATATCCACGTATTATTATAACAGTAAGACTTGTAAGGTTTTTAAAGTATAATTACCGTATATATTTCTACCTCCAGCTTTAAACTCAATCGACTTACTTTCAAGCTGATGGTTCAGGAGATCAAGACTTTCCCATTAGATCGCTTTGGAAGCCGTACGAAAGTTTAGCCGCAAATAATTACCAAAAATTACTGTTCTGCGGAATTCATTACTCAAAATTAGGTGCCTATCATCACTTTTTAAGTCGACTGGTTAAGCCAAAGGTATTCGATGAAGCACTGATTCTATTTGACACCCTGTCGTGTTGCACTCGTTTGATCGTGCACTGACCTTAAGTAGTTAGGCTACCATCACAGCTTCACATTTCTCAACCGGGAATATGTATTCTATTATGTACTATGAATATGTTGTTTTGACTTGTCGTTGGTCTAATCAGAACAAGTGCTCCGGAGATTAGATGAGGAATACTTGAGTTAATTCACAGCTAAGTAATGCAGCCAAATGAGTGAGAGATATTACATTTAAGCTTTATAAAAAGAGTCAGATGTCCAGTAGTCACAGCAAAGCCTAAGAATAACAGTATCTTAAAGAGCCTCAACTTATAGGAATTTTTCTAACATAGATAGATTCATCCCTGTAGCCTTTTACAGTCCGTATGTACCTATACTTCTTACAGAGATTTCATTCCTGGTGCCAACGTAGTTGGGAAATAGGAAAAACTGGACTTAGGCCTAACATAAAATCTTAAACTCTTTAAAAGCCATTCAAACCGTACTTCGGGAATTCTGATGTGTAAATGCAAACTCACCACTTAAAGATATAATGCTATGGTTTCAATTCTAACTTTTGCTAACATTTTTCGGCCAAACATATGTCAAAATTGTAGACTTTTGTTATCCGCCAAAAAAACAACGAACTTGTAAAACTACAATTTACAAAGTAAATTGAATTAGTGCAGTAAAACAAATGCCAGTGGAAAGGTGGTAGCTTCAATAAGAGAAACACATGGCCCATTAAAAACAATCCATTTTTGTCTCTTCTGCTATTATGAAAGATTGGTTAGTAAACATTTATGTTGTACTGTGAGTTTTGTCCATTTTACAACCGATTCAAACAGAACAGTAAAATATGTCAAATCCTATAATCCCACCCTGACGGATACCATAGATCCCTTCTGGCAATAGGTATTGGATCCACTGCACTTCATCAAGTAAAATTTTGTATTCATGATGAAGTCAGCCTTGGTTCTGCGGTAACTGAAGGTATGAAGATAAAGCTTTAGTGATCGGCTGTCAAACGCTAAACATTTCACTCTTGTGATAGGTTTGATAGCACTCACTTGTACTCTTGCTGGGAGATTGGCGTTTCCTCATGTGGGCGGTAGTGTAGTAAGTGACACGCATATGTTCCGTACAGTCGCATAAAAATTCAAGTCACCCAATCGTTCCAGGCTCTTAGTAAATTATTAACGTATGATTCCTTCCTGAAGACAGTACGAATCCCCATGCAGAATGTTTCTCTCG